CGATCTTGGCTCACTGCAACCTCCGCCTCCCAGGTTCAAGTGATTCTCCTGCCTCAGCCTCCTGAGTAGCTAGGACTATAGGCACGCACCACCACGCCCAGCTAATTTTTGTATTTTTAGTAGAGATGGGATTTCATCATATTGGTCAGGCTAGTCTCAAACTCCTGACCTCATGATCTGCCTGCCTCCACCTCCCAAAGTGCTGGGATAACAGGCGTGAGCCACCACACCCATGCAAATGCACATACAGGTATGGACAAGGATTTTCATACAATATTATTAGTAGTATAGAAAAATTAGAAATAACCAAAACTTCCATTATCAGGGAAGTGAGTTCATTGTGATATATCCACACATTTGCACACTCTGCAGCTGTCAAAATATGAGATGCAGCTGCGTGTCCGTGTGGACAGATGTCCAGAACAAATGAAGCAAGGCAATACGCTGGAAACCTAGTTTTGTAAACATGAAATCCAACCTGGATCATTACATGCCAAAGTGTTAGTAATAGTTGTGTCTGAGGGACTTATTTTATATTTTTGTGATGTTTTACAATGAGCGTGCACCCTTTTTATAACTGGAGAGAAGATGAAAAGAATGACAGTAAAAATTCTTGCAGCTCCTTACGTTCATAGGTCTGCCTCCTCACCCAAACTCAAAGGCAGAGTAGCTATGATATCTTTGTAATTACAGTGCTTGGTATATAATGGCCCTCAATTAACATCTGCCTGGATGACAAATGGAGGGCGTCACCGCTGGATTTGGGAGAGGGCCATAAAGGAGCTGCCATTTGTGACAGATGTTCTGAGATGAATGGGGATTCACCTTGTAATCAAGGAAGGGAGGGCGTTGTGATCGTGGGAACAGCAGGTGGAAGGCTCCAAGGCGTAGAGGGTGAGGCTTGTTTGGAGGCTGCAGAGGTGTCGCAATATGAGGATACAGGATGTGTGAGGGAGCAGGGCTGGTGACGTGTCTGGAGGTGAAAACCAAGATGCAAATATGGTGACCCCAGCCTGGCCAACATGGTGAAACCCGTCTCCACTAAAAATACAAAAATTAGTTGGGCATGGTGGTGCACACCTATAATCTCAGCTACTTGGAAAGCTGAGGCAGGAGAATTGCTTGAACCCAGGAGGCGGAGGCTGCAGTGAGCCGAGACGTGCTACTGCACCTCCAGCCTGGGTGACAGAGCATGACTCCACCAAAAAAAGAGAGAGAGAGACGAAAGACAGAAAGAAAGAGGAAGGAAGGAAGGAAGGAGAGAAAGAGAGAAAGAAAGAAAATATGGTGATCAGGAAACTGGGCCAGCACTTGCCACCCTCTGGCCCACCATGGCACGTATGGTCTATGACTCTCAGACTGGATGGCTCCCGGCTGCACTAGACAGTATTGGACAGAGAGCTCCAGCCTCCCCAAGGCTGAGAGGAGCTCCTCTCTGGGCACCTGGTTGGGAAGGTCAGGCCTTCCCCAGACTGCTGAGCGTCAGAACCACCTGCACACCAGCTTCTCAGGCCCACCCACATCTACCTGGGATTTCTCCAAGGTGGGTTTCAGGAAACGTGGAGGTGATGGAGCTGTGATGTGATTCCAATGCACAGCCACAGGTGCAGGGGAGCCCTCGAGTGTTTGGGTGGGCACTACGAGTACACACTTGCCTGGGGACAGTTTAGACTCAGGGAAGTTTTCACAGAGGTCCCCAGAAGAATTGTGGGTCCAATAAGTGTAGTGACAACCAGACTAGGGAGGAGGAGGGGACAAATTGAGAATTCTCTAGAAGTCTCAGTGTTCATGACCACTCCATTGGAGGTGAGAGGTAAGTGCCATGAGGTTTGTCAAGGAGGGAAGTTGATGATATTTTTCATCAAGACCAGCCTCACAGGCGGAGTGTGGTGGCTCACGTCTGTAATCCCAGCACTTTGGGAGGGCGAGGGGGGAGGATTACTTGAGGTCAGGAGTTTGAGACCAGCCTGGCCAACATGGTGAAACCCCGTCTCTACTAAAAATATAAAAATTAGCCAGGCGTGGTGGCAGACACCTGTAGTCCCAGCTACTTGGGAGGCTGAGGCATGAGAATCGCTTGAGCCCAGAGGCAGAGGTTGCAGTGAGCCGAGATCACACCATTGCACTCCAGCCTGGGTAACAGAGCAAGACTGTGTCTCAAATAAATAAATAAATAAATAAAGCAAAAATAAATAAAGCCTGGCCTCCCCCTATTCCCAGAATGGCTGTGGTTTGAAGGAGAAGTTATGAACTGGGTTTGGTGTCAAGTGTGAGGGGACTTCAGGCACAGGAAAGGTGTGCCCCTTCATTTGAAGGCCATCGTGTTGGTTACAAATAATTTCTCATCACATCCTGTTTGACCGAACCTGGTGACTCCTGGCTGCATGGGAGGTTAGGGAGCGTCTTTTTTTCTGGGATCTGCCTGCCTGGCTGTCATTATGCCACTGGGGAAGGTGAAGATCCTACATGTTGAGGGTCATGGAGTAATTTCTTCCACACATGCCCAATTCTGAACCTGCCATTGGAAAACACTGGAACATCATTATCTCAACTGGGCTTTCTGGAGCCAGGGGTGGCGTCAGTCTCCCTTAGGCCTCTGGGCCATGTGCTAGACCTCATAGCAAGAAATAAGGCAGGAAATGGGTGCTTCTGGGCACCTCACAACATAGACCACAGGAGCTAACTTCACAAGATATACGTTGAAACCAAGGATTAGAGATTGACCTATGGTAGAACAGAATGGTGCCAGGACTGTGGGGAAGGCTGGCATTTAGGCCTTTGGAGAAGAAGAAGGTGTAATCAGAGGTACAAGGAAACCCTGGGGAAATGCTATTTTGGAGGACTGGAGCAGTTTTTAGAAGAGATTAGGCTGGGTGCAGTGGCTCATACCTGGACACTTTGGGAAGCTGAGGCAGGAGAACTGTTCAAGCCCGGGAGTTCAAGGTTGCAGTGAGCTGTGATCATGCCGCTGCACCACAGCCCGCACAACAGAGCAAGACCCTATCTCTAAAACAAAACAAAACAAAACAAAACAAAACAAAAAGCAAACATAACAAAACGGAGTTTTTAGTCCCTGCCTCTAGGGATTATAATTCCGTAAGAGTAAAAGTGACTTGGTGCAGTGGCTCACACCTGCAATCCCAGCACACTTGGGAGGCCAAGGTGAGAGGATTGCTTAAGCCCAGGAGTTTGAGACCAGCCTGAGCAACATGGCAAGACCCCATCTCTACACACACACACACACACACACACACCTTTCTGTATAAGCATAACTCTTGCTGTTAATATTCTCAGAGTTACCTGTCTTCCGAAATGGACCCCTGTCAAACGCAGGGGAATTTAGAAAGTGGACACTGCGATTTTTCATTGAAATGGGAGCATCCAGGCCTGGCGCAGTGGCTCATGCCTATAGTCCCAGCACTTTGGGAGGCTGAAGTGGGAGGATTGCTTAAGCCCAGAAGTTTGAGACCAGCCTGGGCAACATAGTGAGATCTTGTCATTACAAAAACAAAAATAGTAGCTGGGTGTGGCGGTGCACGCCTGTAGTCCCAGCTACTCAGGAGGCTGAATTGGGAGGAACACTTGAGCCTGGGCGATTGAGGCTGCAGTAAGCCATGACTGCACCACTGCACTCCAATCTGGGTGACAGATTAAGACTGTGTCTCAAAATAAAAAAGACATTTAGAAAGTTGAGAACTCTGCTCCAACTCCCCCAAAAGACAGTTAAATGTTGGGAAATGTAAGGATCACTTCTTCCTTTGTCCTCCAATGTTACAAAAAGAATGTAAACATTGAAAAAGATCATATCATATTCATTCTCTGAAGCCATTGATTCTGATAAAGTCACATAAAAATGACACATTAGAAAAAAAAATTATATCAATGAATGTAGCTCTAAGAATCTTAAAACTTCAGGGGCCAGGAGCAGTGGCTCATGCTTGTAATCCCAGAACTTTGGGAGGCCAAGGTGGGCACCTCACTTGAGTTTAGGAGTTCGAGACCAGCTGGCCAACATGGTGAAACCCTGTCTCTACTGGAAAAAAAAAAAATTAGCTGGGCATGGTGGTGTGTGCCTATAATCCCAGCTACTCGGGAGGCTGAAGCAGGAGAATCACTTGAACCCGGGAAGTGGAGGTTGCAGTGAGCTGAGATCACACCATTGAACTCTAGCCTGGGTGACAGAGTGAAACTCCATCTCAAAAAAAAAAAAAAAAAGAAAGAATCTTAACAACTTCAAAAAACGGAATGCAGTGATTACATTTAAGGATGTATATGTTAAAACTGCAAGAATGATTTGAAAATGTTGCTATCATAGGTATATCAAGAAAAAAGTCATTTACATTAAATATCTCAAAGGTATTTGGTAAAGTTTAATACCCATTCATAATAAAACATTTTAAAATAAGAAAACAATGCTTCTTTAGCACGGTAAAAGAATATTGGCCAAGCGCAATGGCTGACACCTGTAATCCTAGCACTTTGGAAGGCTGAGGCGGGCAGATCACCTGAGGTGGAGAGTTCGAGACCAACCTGACCAACATGGACAAACCTCATCTCTACTAAAAAACAAAATTAGCTGGGCGTGGTGGCGCCTGCCTGTAATCCCAGCTACTCAGGAGACTGAGGCAGGAGAATCGCTTGAACCTGGGAGGCAGAGGTTGCAGTGAGCCGAGATCGTACCATTGCACTCCAGCCTGGGCAATGAGAGTGAAACTCTACCTCAAAAAAAAAAAAGAAAAAGAAAAGAAAAAAAAGAATATTTATTTTCCTCATAAATATCAAGGCATTCTATAAAGCAGTACTATTAAATCACACAGTATGGGTGCAGGAATAAACAAATCAGTCAGTGGCACAGGATAGAGAATAGAAACATCTCTTTCATGTGGGAACTTAGAATATGAAGAAAATTGGGAGAATAATGGGCTAGCAATAAAAGGTGCTGAGACAATTAGCTATGCACTTAGGAAGATAAAGTCAAATCCCTACTTTATACTCTTCACTAAAATAAGTGCACTTAGATCCTTTTGTGGTTCATAATGTGATGACTGGGTTTTCATGCCCATGTGTGAAGTGTGCCTCCCTACAATCTTGTTAAGATGTCAGCACATTGCCTTCTGACGGGAAAGAAAAGTGAAATAAGTGAGCTTATTTTTGTGGCTTAAGGGGCCAAATGAGAACACAAAACCATAAAGGTATTAAAAGGAAATTCAGGAAAATGGGTTTAGAACCTCGGGGGTTTAGAAGACCTTCTTAAACATGCCATAAAATGCAAATGGCAGAACGGAAATGCTTGATCAATTTGATTACATCAAAATGTTAAATATGTGTGTCGTCCCAAATGCCTTAGAGCTAAAAGATGAGCAAAAAACTGGGAGAAAGTAACTAAAATATGTATAACCAGAGACTAATACCTAGAATTTATAAGGAAAGTAAATATTCTTTTATTTATTTATTTATTTTTTTGCCTTATGTAAGTCAAATTGGGGCTGAGCTCAGTGGTACATGCCTATAATCCCAATGCTTTAAGAGGCTGAGGTGGGAGAATTGCTTGAGCCCAGGAGTTTGAGAGCAGCCCAGGCAACATAGTGCAACCCCATCTCTACAAAAAATTTAAAAAACTAACCTACAGGTGGCATGCACCTATAGGCCTAGCTGCTCAGGATGCTGAGGTAGGAGGATTGCTTGAGCTCGGGAGTTCGAGGCTGTAGGGGACTGATTGTGCCACTGTACTTCAGCCTCAACCTGGGCGATGGAGCAAGACTGTTTCTTAAAAAAAAAAAAAAAGGAACTGCAAATTTTAAAATAATAATATAATAACTGAATAGAAATGTGGGCAAAGGATAAAAACGGGCAATTTACAAAAGAAGAAATAAAACAAGGTTGTTGGCTATCTGATTGGCAAAAAGTAAAAACATTAATGATAACCTTGGCAATGTTGTGGGGAAATGAGAGCTTCCAGTTCGTGATTGTGGGGGTGTAAATCAGAACAGCAGCTTTGGAGAACAATGTAATAGTCTATTAAAATAACATACATAAGGCTGGGTGTGGTGGCTCATGCCTGTAATTCTAGCACTTTGAGAGGCTGAGGCGGGTGAATTGCTTGAGCTCAAGAGTTCAAGACCAGCCTGGGTGACATGGTAAAACCCTGCCTCTACTAAAAATACAGAAATTAGCCAGGCATGTGATGACGTGTTCCTGTAATCCCAGCTACTAGAGTGGCTGAGGCAGAAGGATCGGTTGAGCCCCGGAGGCACAGGTTGCAGTGAGCTAAGATTGCGGCATTACACTCCAGCCTGGGCAAGAGTGAGACTGTCTTTAAAAAAAAAAAAAAAAAAAAAAAGTACATACTCAATGAGTTTGGAAATTTTACAAATTGAGACACACTCACAGAATCAGTTCTAGAACAGATGATTTTTAGATGGGTTTATCCGATATGATATTATTGAAGACAAATTGTTGATTTAAAATACTCAAATGACACCAAATTCCATTCACAATACCAGCAAAACCATGTAATATCCAGAAGCAAATATAGGACGACTGGTTTAGTGAGCAACATAAAGGCATAAGTGAATGAAAACTGAGGCATTCAGCGAAAACTGTATTTTTAAAAATTATTATTGTTATTTTGAGATGGAGTCTCACTGCAGCCTCGACCACCAAGGCTCAAGTGATTCTCCTGCCTCAGCCCCTGAGTAGCTGGGATTACAGGCACATGTCACCACGCCTGGCTATTTTTTGTATTTTTAGTAGGGACAGGGTTTCACCATATTGGCCAGGCTGGTCTCAAACTCCTGGCCTCAGGTGATCCGTCCGCTTCAGCCTCCCAAAGTGCTGGGATTACAGGCTTGAGTCACCACCACACCCAGCCCACGGAGAAATGTATTTTAAAGGTATCCCTTTGCCATAGGCAGATGGATGCAATTCCAGTCAAAATCCCATGAGGGGACTGGGTGCAGTGGCTCATGCCTGTAATCCTAGCACTTTTGGGAGGTCAGGGCCGGTGAATCACCTGAGGTCAGGAGTTCGAGACCAGCCTGACCAATATGGTGAAACCCCTTCTCTACTAAAAATATAAAAATTAGCCAGGCATGGTGATGTGCGCCTGTAGTCCTAGCTACTCGGGAGGCTGAGACAGAAGAATTGCTTGAACCTGGGAGGCGGAGATTGCAGTGAACCAAGATCATGCCACTGCACTCCAGCCTGAGCGACAGAGTGAGACTCCGTCTGAAAAAAAAAAAAAAAAAAAAAATCCCATGGGGGATTCATTTTGGTTTGCCTTTTTCCCTACAACTGAACAATATTAGTGTGAAATTAAAATAATGTAAAAGTGGTTAATAAACTGGGATGTTAAACTGTATCCTGAAAAAAACGTCAAGTAGAATGACCAACCCCAGCAAAAGAAGCACATGGGGGCACAGAACAGATCCAGTGATGTGTTAGAGATGGCGTCTGCGCCAACAGAAAGCAACTTCTGAAGGCCACACGGAAAGAGTGCTTGCTGGGGTCCTGCCCTCCATGGGCCCACGTTCCCTTGTCCCTAGGTCTGCTGAATGGGCTGTTCACTCAGGTGTCAGCAGCTCCAGGGTCCTCTGCCCTGCCTTACTCTGTTGGTCTGTGTCTGCTGTTTCTCTGCAGGTCCAAGCCTTGTCATTGGCCAGTAAGTTTGAAGCAGAGTTGAAAGCTGAGCAAGATGAGCGGAAGCGGGAGGAGGAGGAGAGGCGGCTTCGCCAGGCGGCCTTCCAGGAGCTCAAGGCCAACTTCAGTACATAGTCCTGCTGACCTTGCCCTCTGCCCACAGCTGTGCCTCACAGATGCCCCAGGAAGAGATGACAGGCATCTTCATCACTGCTGCCAGTCCCCTCCTGAGCCAGCATCTCCACCCATCACCCTGTGCCAGCTCCCATGCCAGCCTTCATTCCTCCCAGTGTCCAAGCCCCTCCGGGGGTCCTGGGGTGGGCCAGATGCCTGCCCACCTCTGTCTCCGGCCTCTGCTCCTCCACCCTACCCGTAGCCAGAACTTGTATCTTCTCAGCGACCTTCACTTCGTCCTTGTCCCTTTACCATTCCACATCAAAGAGTAGTCTCTGTCAATTTGTAAAGATATGTCTGTCTTTTTGGGTCCTCAGAGAAAATGCCCATTTTCAAGAGGAATTCTCTGCACTCCTCTGCTTCCCATCCAGCTTGCCTGTTCTCATCTTTGGTAGGATTCTGCCAGTTGCTTTTACATCTTCTGTTCCTGGGTAATGGTGGGTCTTAATGGAGGCTGGGTGGACCACTGCCCATTCACTCTTCAACAGGAGGAACAGCACGCCGCCACGGTGACACACATTAGAGAAAGGACAGAGGTCTGCTCCTTCCTGCCACCTTTCTCCTGGCCCCTTAGCATTCCCCCAGTCCCTCCCTCTTCACCCTGCTCGTCTGTGTCTTCCCAGTTCAGCCTTTTTCCCACTCTTAAATACTGTGCTACTTCACTGTAAGAATGAAAGAACAGTTAGGATACCAATGAGTAAAAGGGTTCCTGGTCACTCTGACTCTGTGCAAATTGTATTATAGTAGACCCCTGACATTCCCAAGTGACAGATCCAGGGCCTTTCAAACATCCCCAAAGTCGTGGCCATGCTCACCATTAGCCAGTTTCTAACATCTGTTTCAGGGTATCGAGCTGTAGATGTTCTTACCCCCCATACTTGTGAGTTCTTGGGGTTGCTCACAAATACTAAGGGTTGTGTTGTATTTTTAACAAATATATCCTGTTGTCATATTTATTCTCTTTTGTAACTGCTGTCTTTACAATAAAGAAATCACCTGCCTTTCTATCTCACAGCTGTTTCTTTTTACATTGTACAAATAATGTGACCGTCACATCAACGTGCCTGGAATTTTCTTGAATTAAAGGAGAGAGTAGGGTATTTTCTATAGGAGCCAAGTCCCATCCAGGGCTTCTGTTTGACACCGAGTCCTGAAGTACAGTTAGAAATGGGAACTAGAGGCCAGGCATGGTAGCTCACGTCTGTAGTCCCAGCACTTTGGGAGGCTGAGGCGGGCGGATCACTTGAGGTCAGGAGTTCAAGACTAGCCTGGTCAACATGGTGAAACCCCATTTCTAGTAAAAATATAGCTGGCCTGGTGGCGCACACCTGTAATCCCAGCTACTCAGGAGGCTGAGGTGGGAGAATCCCTTGAACCAGGGAGGCAGAGTCTGCAGTGAGCAGAGATGGTGCCGCTGCACTCCAGCATAGGCAACAGAGCAAGACTCCATCTCAAAAAAAAAGAAACAAATGAGAACTAGAGGGCTGGTTTTCACTCTATAGGATTCAGAGCACTGAGCTTATCAGTTGCACTCCCCTTCCCTTCTGTGAGGATGCCTTCAGCTGCAGGGAAAAACCACAGCTTCATTTCTTTTGCTTCTTAGATCCCTTGAAACTGTCATGAGAGCCAATGCCCCTCCCTCCTATGTATAATCCAGGATATTTGGGCTACCCATGCAAGGACCTCTGTCCCAAGAGAACACCCTTTGCTCCTCAGGAAGGATCATTCTGTGTTACACAAATCCAAGACCTATGCTTTGCAGACATCATTTTTCTAGCTGGTGTCACCCTCTAGTCTCCCTACCAGAGGGGACGGACATGAAAAAGGAGTAGAGATTCTTACCATATGATCCAGCAATCCTACTCCTTCCTATTTCTTCAGACTACATGAGTGCTTATGTCCACACAAAAACCTGCACATGAAGCTTTTGTTTTTTTATTTTTTTGAGACAAGGTCTAGCACTGTAACCCAGGCTGGAGTGCAGTGGTGCGAAGATGGCTCACTGCAGCCTCAACCTCCTAGGCTCAAGTGATCCTCCTGCCTCAGCCTCCCAAAGTGCTGGGATTGCAAGCATGGGCCACTGTGGCCGGCCTGCATATGAATCTTTATAGCAGCTTTATTCCTAATTTCATAGACTTGGAAACAATCAAAATGTTCCTCAATAGGTGAGTGCATAAACGATGATACATCTGCACAGTTGAATATTATTCAGTGATGCGGCGAAGTATTTACCAATAGAAAGAAATGAATTATCAAGTAATGAGAAGGGAGGAAACTTACATGCATACTGCTAAATGAAAAGCCAGTCCTAATCTGGGTGTGGGGCACTTGTTCATGGTTCTAGCTGCTCGCGGCTGAAGAGGAAGGATAACTGGAGCCTCGGAGTTCGAGTGCAGCCTAAGCAACATAGTGAGACCCCATCTCAAAAAAAAAAAAAAAAAGCCAATCTGAAAAGGCTACATACTATTTGATACCAACTATAGTATGACATCCTGGGAAAGGTAAAAGTGTGAAGACAGTGAAAAGATCAGTGGTTGTCAGCAAGGAGAGGGGGAGGACTTTTAGGGCAGTAAAACTTACTCTCCATGATGCTATCGATGCTGCTGGATGAATGTCATACATCTGTCAAAACCTATAGAACGTGCAACACAAAGAATGCACCCTAGGCCAAGTGCAGTGGCTCATGCCTGAAATCCCAGCACTTTGGAAAGTGGAGGCAGGAAGATTGCTCAAGCTCAGGGGTTCGAGACCAGCCTGGGCAATATAGTTGTACCCTGAGTCTACAAAAAACTTTTAAAAAGCCAAGCTTGGCCGGGAGCGGTGGCTCAGCGCTTTGGGAGGCTGAGGCAGGGGGATTGCTTGAGCTCAAGAATTTGAGACCAGCTAGGGCAATATGGTGAAACCCTATTTCTATCAAAAATTCAAAAAATATTAGCTGGGCGTGGTGGCAGGCACCTGTGGTCCCAGCTACTTGGGAGACTGAGGCTGAGGTGGGAGGATTGCTTGAGCCCAGGAAGTGGAGGTTGCAGTGAGCCGAGATCGTGCCACTGCACACCAACCTGGGTGACAGAGTGAGACCGTGTCTCAAAAAGAAAAATAAAGGCCAAGTGTGGTGGCATGCACCTGTGCTCTCAACTACTCAGGAGGCTGAGGTGGAAGGATGCCTTGAGCCCAGGAGGAGAAGGTTGCAGTGAGCCAGGATCATGCCACTGCACTCCAGCCTGGATGACTGATTGAGAGCCTGTCTCAAAAAGGAAAGAAAGGAATGCGTCCTAATATTAACTATGGAGTTTAATAATGCGTCAATATGGGCATGTCAATTGTAACAAATATATCACATTAAAATAACATAATAATAGGGAATGGGGAGTTGGAGTGAGAGGGGTACATAGGAACATGTACTTTTGGCTCCATATTTCTGTAAACCTGAAACTTCTCTAAAAAATAAAGTCTAGGGTGGGTGTGGTTCATGCCTGTAACCCCAACACTTTGGGAGGCCTAGGTGGGCGGATCACCTGAGGTCAGTAGTTCGAGACCAGCCTGGCCAACACAGTGAAACCCTGTCTCTACTAAAAATACAAAATATTAGCTGGGAGTCGTGGTACACGCCTGTAATCCCAGCTACCCGGGAGGCTGAAGCAGGAGAATCGCTTGAAAACCAGAAGGCGGAGGTTGCAGTGAGGTGAGATCGTGCCACCATACTCCAGCCTGGATGACAGAGCGAGACTCCATCTCAAAAAGATAAATAAATAAATAAACATCTAATGGTGAAGGAGACAAGAAAAAAAAAGCCTATTAATTTAAAAAGAAGGAAGAGAATGGAGATAGCAGTGTCATTACTTGAAGCATCCGTTTGCCTTTCTGGACAAGTGGGCCCACGTGGGAACTAAAACTCTTGATTGCTTGTCACAGACTGTGAAAATAAAAATAAACAAATAAGGCTGGGTGCAGTGACTCATGCCTGTAATCCCAGCACCTTGGGAGGCTGATGCAGGTGGATTACTTGAGGTCAGGAGTTTGAGACCCACCTGGCCAACATGTCAAAACCTCATCTCTGCTAAAAATACAAAAAAATTAACCGGGCATGGTGGCATGTGCCTATAGTCCCTGCGACTCGAGAGGCTGAGGCAGGAGAATCCCTTGAACCCCGGGAGGCAGAGGTTGCAGTGAGCCAAGATCACGCCACTGCATTCCAACCTGGGTGACACTGTCTCAAAAAATAAAAATAAAAATAAATAAATAAAACTTTTGATTGCAAGCAATAGAAAATCCAACACAAAAGGACTTCAGACAAAACAGGACACATTGGACTATGTCACTACAAAGGCCAGGGAGAGGATGTCATTCCTCCCTCTTGGCCACAAAGTCCCCCAGAGGCTGCTCCCTTGTGCCTCCCGCCCTCTGTCTCCAGCGCCATGATCACAGCTCAGACCTTCATAGGTTCCTTCCTGGGTCTCTACCGTGGGCTCCTCACTGGTTTCTCTGCCCTCATTATAACCTGATTGTCTACTTTGCAGCTGGAGTAATCCTTAGAAAATGCAAACCTGTTCCTAACATCTCCCCTTCAATTTTTGATTCCCCACTTTCGGGATCTGGCCCCAACTCATCTCTCCAGCTCCATCTCTTGTCCCTCCTCCCTGTCCTGTCTCCTTCCAAACTCTATACTCCTGGTATGTGCAATGCCTAACCGATCCTAGAAAATTCCACACCTCCAGGCTTTTGCATATGCAGTTTCCTCTGCCTGGCACTCCCTCCCTCCCTTCCACAGGTGGGCTACTTCTCACTGTTAAAGACTCAGCTCAGAGATTATCTTCAGGAAGCTTCCTTGATGCTCCCAGCCCAGGTAAAGTGTCCCTTCTCAGGGCTCCCATTTCCCCCGAGTTTCTCTCTACTGTAATCCTGACAGCTTGAGGCAGTAGCCCTCTTTTTACTTCTCAGCCTCCCTGTTTGGACTGTGAACTCTTTGCAGGGCAGGAAGTTTGCCTTGCCTATGCTATAGGCCCAGCATGCTGCGTGGCATGTAGCAGGCAACCCTTGCATGTTGGTTTTACAAGGACATGCCAGGTTTGTTAGAGCAAACAGATGGGCAAGGCAGGATCATTACCACTGATGTCAGAGATCTTCTGAGTACTCCACCATGAGAGCCTGAGGGGCCAGCTCTGAAAGTGGAGACTGGCCGGGTGCGATGGCTCATGCCTGTAATCCCAGCACTTTGGGAGGCTGAGGCGGGCGGATCACCTGAGGTCAGGAGTTCGAGACCAGCCTGACCAACATGGAGAAACCTCGTCTCTACTAAAAACACAAAATTAGTCGGGAGTCGTGGTGCATGCCTGTAATCTCAGCTATTCGGGAGGCTGAGGCAGGGGAATTGCTTGAACCCAGGAGGTGGAGATTGCTGTGAGCTGAGATTGTGCCACTTGCACTCCAGCCTGGGCAATAAGAGCGAAATTCCATCTCAAAAAAAAAAAAAGAAAAGAAAAGAAAAGAAAAGAAAAGAAAAAAAGGAAAAGAAAGAAAGTGGAGAGAGCAGAGCTTGTGGGAATATCTTTCTCACTGGAAGAGAGAGAGGTCACTCCCCAGGGCCCTCCTTTGACTGAGCAATTGGAAAAACAACACACCAATTAGTTTTGCCTAGGCCCTGGAGGCTGTGTGATGTAATGGAATTTGGAATCCAACACTAGGCAAGTAACTGAACCTCACTGAGCCTCCGTTTCCTCACCTGTAAAATGGGCACGATGATGACCTACCTGGCAGATTCCATGCCTGCCATATATTTAGTGCTCAGGACACATGGGTCCCCTCTCTCCCCTCCCTCCTCCACTACTGTAACTCTGTCTCCTCCTGAGCCCTGAGTCTCCACAGTTAGGTCCAAGAGTCTCAGGCCAGCGTAGCCCAGAAGTGCTCAGTCCTGGCTGCTGTCTTGGCTACAAGTGCAGATGCCCATGGACCCAGGTTCTCTGTTATTTTGAGACCCCTTTCCCGACCAGCCCAGGGAATTTCTGCCCAT